TAAAACATGCAGGATGGTGTTCCTCAAGGACCAGAGTTGGGAACCACTCATTTTTATGCTCTAAAATGTTTTTTGTTTTTTTTTCTCTCAGTCAGGAGTTTTCATTGTTTCTTTCTTGATTTTAGTTCTAAATCATTCCCAAAGTTCAGCTTAGGTGTGGCGTGATGCACACTGAGTTGTGGACTTCCTGTCGGGATATTTGTATTCAAGCAAGAAAAATCAAACAAATGTTCTTGACCTACTAAACCTTTAGAGAGGCTTGTTCTTTCTGCACGGTTTGTTTCAGGATTCCCATGAATCCTCCGCAGTCCCTGCTGACTTGTGTCTAATCTATTGATTCGGACTGTCACCTTCTGTCATGAAGGCCTTTGTTTTCTCCTGCCTTCGTCGTTACTCTTCCGCTGTTTATTGTCGCCCACGCACATTCGTTGCCTTTTATGCCTTCACTGGTTTTATTTTTATTTTTTAATTTCTCTCTTTTCGTCTCACTCATTCTCTCGCTCTCATGCATGCCTCTCTTCTAGAGAATGGTTGCACATCTCTGCCAGGTGAGTCTTTCACGCGCTCTCATCTGCATGTTTCTGACATGAGAAGAATAATAACCGGCTTCTGAAGCTACAACTGCTAATGGACGCTCCAACGCATTTACATTAAACTTTGGTTTGTAGCGAAGCAGTTTTAGCTTCATCTTGGCCATGGTTGTGTTTTGTGTTTTAAACTCTGTTGTGTCTTTATTCTTTTTTGCTCATGTTTTTTATTTTTGTCATTTGCCGCAGCTTTAAACTGTCAAGCATCTAACGACAGTTGTTTATGATGTGGTTTCAGTTAACTTTATAAAATCGGATCAACTGATTTATAAGAAGGATTAGGCCTGTCATGATAAATTTTGCTAGGAGATTAATTCTCAGAAAAAAATGTGATAAATGATAATATTGTTTGAAATTTGATAATAATTAGTAATTATTATCAAATTTAAGAAAAAATGTTGGTTTATTTGAGTGTAGTACCTTTTTTCGACCACCGGCCGGCAGTATAAGACAGTTGGAACCGAAGGATGGATAGTGAGGGTGCGAGCAGCGTGTCTCTTTAAGTAAAATGGGAGGGAGGCCCCTTGACGTGACACGGGCTGTCTCGTTCCTGTTTTTCGGTTCTCAAAACGGCGGACGCTCGGTGTGGTTTGAGCTCTTTAGCATAACATTTTTCACACAAAGCTTTTAATAAAAAATCAGTAAACGAGTTCTCGTCTTCTTTTTGCAGAGAAAACAACTTTTTACACGTAGGCACGGGTTTCAACCGTGAATTTTGGAGCTTCAACAAGACCGTTTTTTTTTTTTTTTTCCCAGAGGTCGACCTGTTAGCTTAGCTCGTAGCTTAGCTTCTCAGTTTAGCTGCTTTTAACGATCCAAAAACATGATTTTGAACGGTTAAAATTATTATTATTTTTTTAATAGAAAGGGAGGGGTCAGTGACGAGCACTGGAGTTGAGCCTTTTATCATCCAGTGTCTTCAGTAGAAAGAGAGAGACACGAAGAAACGATAAAGCCGATAAATGAAAATGAGGTTGATAATTTTAATTTGTCATGCGATTAATTGATTTATTCTTAATCACGACAGGCCTAAGTAGGATAAAGCTGTAATCCCTAAAAAAAATACTGCTTTTAATTTTACATTTTATTATTTCTGTTCATTTAAACAGGCATTAATAATCTGCACATGTTCTGTGATCAACAAATGCATTTTAATAACTGTCCTAATTTTCCAACGTAACTGAACTAGTGTTGAAAGTTTTAATTAAAGCTCTTGCTTCCTATGAACTATAATCCTGATGTTTGTGCAGAGGTTCTGTGTAATCGCACTACTTGCATGCAGTTTGTATTTCTGCACACATGGACGCACACAAACACTTAAGTGCTTACAGTTTGCACCGTGTTGAAACTCAAGAAGCCACAAAACTTGAGTTTCTGTGGGACGTAAATCTGCTTATGGTAGCTCTCGGTTGGCCTGCTTTGCATATCACAGGGTTATGTAGGTGTAATCAACCCAAGACCGTTGGGGTGCGTCTAATCTTTTAACAAAATCAACGTAAACAAACTGAAAGGAGTCTGGTGAGAAATTAAAAGAAGCGCAATAAGGTTTTGGAGTCCTCCTTGAGCGGCATGGACTTTGCCCTGTGTCCGTTGGGTTTGTGAATCATGACACCATATATTCGTACATAAATGCAGCTGCTCGCACCTCCAGTGCGTTACTTAAAGCTTCGTAACCACCATCGGCGTGAAGAGTCACCCGGAGATGTTTAAATGTGATACCTGCGTAAGAACAAAAGGTGTTTGACCTGCAACGGTAAAAGGATAGATGGAGCCTGCCTGCCACCTGTCTGGATTATCAGACTCTGTAAATCAGTAAACACGTTGCGTTTCTCTTCATACCACAAGACCACTCTGCTTTTTTTCTCTTGTCACCATTATATTAGTCTTTTCTTAATTTCACCTACAGTATGTCACTGTACTGTGATCCTTTAAATTGTTTAACTGTAGAGAGCATTAATGCAGTTTAACAGATTAGCTTCCTTTACATATATTATTAAATAAAATACACTGGTTATGATTTGAATGAAAAATATTAACGCAAACCACTGAGTGACTGGGAACCAGAAAAGGTTTTAGAGTTGCGGTGATATCTCACTGGTAACTGCTGGTGACTACTTAGCGAATGGTATTTGTGACAGTCTTTAAATTGTTTCCAAGTGTTGGCAGGATTTTTTTTATATTTCCTCAAGTGAACTGCAGAGAGAAGGCTTGTTGAATTCTGAACAAGTTCAAAAATAGTGTGTGTTGCTGGTGTCTCGAACCCGTCTTGGCCATTCTTAGTTTAGTTGCAGTCATCTCCAACCCCTCTCAAGAGTTGTGTTTTGACACCTGCATGGGTGCGCTCCTCTTACAGAAAAAGCCAAGACTTCAGCCCTAATTGTCCACGTCTAAAACTGCGCTGATAAATGATAATCATTGAAAACTGGTCTTTATCAGATCATCATTTCAAAAGTGTAATCCAGTTGATTGAATCATAAGCAAGGTGGCAAGCCGAAGAGAGTATATGTGTGGAGGGTAGCCAACAAAACAATGTGCACAGCCAAGAATGCCATTTTGCAAGTTGTGCACTCAAACATCGACCGTGATTTTATTATTGTTTATTAGCTGCACAACTAGCTTCAAGGTGGAGGTGGGAGTGCATCAAGGATCAGCTCTGAGCCCCTTCTTGTTTGCTGTGGTGATGGACCGACTAACAGATGAGGTCAGGCAGGAATCCCCGTGGACTATGTTTGCAGATGACATCATGATCTGTGGTGAGAACAGGTGGAAGAGAACTTGGAGAGGTGGAGGTATGCACTTGAAAGAAGAGGAATGAATGGCAGCCGTAGTAAGACAGAGTCCATGTGTGTGAATGAGAGGGAGGAGGTGGAACAGTGAGGCTACAAGGAGCAGAGGTCACAAAGGTGCAGGACTTCAAGGATTTGGGGTCCACTGTCCAGGAACATGGGGAGTGTGGTAAAGAGGTGAAGGAGAGAGTCCAGGCAGGATGGAGTGATGGAGAAAAGTTTCAGGAGTGATTTGTGACAAAAATGTGTCGGCAAAGGTCAAAGGAAAAGTTTACAAGACAGTGGTGAGACCAGCTATGTTGTATGGTCTGCAGAGAGAGACATGGACAAAAAGACAGGAGACAGAACTGGAAGTGGCAGAAATGAAGATGTTGAGGTTCTCCTTAGTGATGAGGATGGATAAGATTAGGAATGAGATCATCAGAGGTGCAGCACGGGTTGAACAACTGGGGGATAATGTTAGCGAGACCAGACTGAGATGGTTTGGACACGTCCAGAGGAGGGACAGTGGTTTGGACACGTCCAGAGGAGGGACAGTGCGTATTACATTGGTAGAAGGATGTTAGAAATGCAGCTGCCAGGAAAAAGGCAAAGAAAGAGATAAATGGATGCAGTTAGAGAGGACATGGAGGTAGCTGGAGTGAGGCCAGAGATGGAGGAGGACGAGTCGCTGTGGAGACCCCTGAAGAGGGAAAAACTGAAAGAAGAAAAAGATTAGCTTTGCAACTTGCTGGTTACTTTGAATTCAGTGAATCTTCAACTTATTTTTTCTTCCAATATACCAAGTCTTGTTTGATTTTCCAACTATTCTCCAACAGTCGTAGCCCAGGGAGATTCTAGCTTAAGACATCGAACCCACAACCTCATGAAGGACTTAGGACTTAGCTTGGCACCTTTCTTCTGAGTTTCTGAATAAAGAACACTCATAAAGAACTTTTAAAGCTTATAAAGTGATAAAACCATGAATCCGAATGCATCAAGAAAATATCTGGCATTTAAGACATTAGTGGTTTTTGTGTATTAGTACACTTCTTATGAAATATAGTTCCAGGTTAAAAGTAATGGATCACAAAAATATATCTAATACTTACGTTCCACACAAAAATTGATCCTCCAGAAGGAAAGGGTACCGGTAGTAAGGACTGTGGCACACGTATTTCTCAGTTCAGATAAAGTTTGACACATACTGGCTCTTTGGTCTCGCTGTGTAAAACGCTGCTCTTTGAGGATTGCTGTTTTTGGATCCGGGCATCATTCTGTCCACGTTGAGTTGCCACAATGTTTACCATGGACTGGTCAGATGTTGAACCTCCTCAAAGAGCTTTTGGATCATTAATACAACGATTCATACCGAAATGGAGCCGTAACATCATGGTTTTAGACTTTTCAGATGTTTTTTTATTTATTTTAAAGCTAGGAACTCTGGGAAGACTCAAAGTATATTTGTTCAATTGAAGAGAACAGAACAAAGTTTAATTTGGTTTAACTCCATTTTTTTCTTCTTCTGGTTTTAAACACTTGAACTGTATTTTTCCACAATAGAACTTGTAATTAAGCACTTAAAGATCACCCTCCGACACTTTATTGTTGTTTTTGACTTTGTAAAAGTCGTCCATCGTGACTTTGAATTTATAAATTTAGTTCAGCGCTGGGCGAATGACTAATCACAAACATCTTTACCCTCTCGTTTCTGCTGTGCCCATGTGTCCGCCCTGCAGTATTGAGGTTTTGCTTGTTCCTCCAGGACTTGGTAGGAAAGTGTGAGATCTTCTCGGGGAAAGGAGTAGAAAGAACAGTTTTGAAAAAAATATATTTTTACTTTGTGTGCAGTCTCTAATTTCAGTGGATGTGTGTTGGGAATGTAGGGCTGACCACAGTTTGGCCATGGAGGCCCTGAATCAAGGGCAACCGAGCTCTCCCTTCTGGCTCAAGTTGTCCATGAACTCTGCCTGAACTGTGGGATGGAGCTCAGTTTTGGGAAAGCAACTTTGCGATGTGTGTGTGTGTGTCAATAATCCAGCCAAGTCTGTGTGTGTGCATGCACTTTATAAGCTTCTATGGTATGAATCTTTCACTGTGTGACTTTAAAGCCAAATGAGTCATTGCAACCCCAAATAAAGTGTATACGGTAAGTGTTTTCAGCCGTTTGAAAGGCATTCTAACAAAAACTCCTTTTATTTATTTATTTTTCCTGATTCTCCCTTAATGTTTTATGCACATGATCATTATTCCTGTTACTTCACAGACTGGCCTGTTCGACTTCTTTGAGTGTAACTGTAGAACTGATCTCTATCTCTTCGTCTTCTCTCCATCAGGAGTTGATTCCCCTCATCTTGTGCACAGCTTGCCTTCATCCAGAGTCTAAAGAGAGGGACCAGCTTCTGCACATCCTCTTTAATCTCATCAAGAGACCAGATGATGAGCAGAGGTGTGCATGTTTCTATGTATATTGCAAATATTTTAAAAAATCACATATTTTGCTCATTTATCTCTCTTTTTGATTTAGCATCTTCCTAAAATTATTATTTTTTATATATATTTGTCTTTTTGTCTTAAGACAAATGATTTTGACAGGTTGTGTTGCATTTGCAAGACACGTGGGTCCAACTCGTGTTGAGGCTGAGCTTCTTCCTCAGTGCTGGGAACAGGTACGGTAATATAATAGCATTTAATTAAGTCACTTTTATACCTTTTTTTAAGTTGTATTAATTATAGTCTGTCCAACAGAACTGTGGTTCCTCTGCACAGGAAACCCGCGAGTCAGAAACCATCGGGATTTTTAACTTCCAAACATTTATTCACCAAACTCAGCTGCTCCTAGTTTATTTATTTAAACTAACCAAAACTTGGATCCAGCAGAAGAATCGGGCGGTGCTGGGCCAAATCTAAAAATCATTTATTCTGAGAGGTTATGGTTTTAAGTAGAGAAATTGCATTTAAAATGAAAATACAGTGTGAATGTTTATTGCTGAAAAACAGCTGAAATTATCTAAAAACATGCTGAAATGTAGCTGAAATTAAAGAACAAGCCTAAATTAGCAAAGAAAGCAGAAAGAACACACATTTGCTGAATTTAGTTTAAATAGGTAGAAATATGCACAAAAAATAGGAAATTAACACAAAAAAAATTTGCTTAAAGTAGCAAAAATAGCTGAAAAGTAGATGAAAAGGCAGAAAGAAGCTTAAATTACCGTAAGTAAAAAGAGCTTAAATGAGCTCCAAATATATAGATTAGCCTAAAAAGCTAAAATTAGCATAAAACCTGCTAAATAGTAGTAGCTGAAATAGCAAAAAAGGTTGAAACTTGCAGAAAAAAGCTGAAAGGAGCATAACAAATTGAAAATAGCAGAAATCACCACGAAAACTTGAATTTATCTGAAAACGGCTCAAATTAGCTAAGAAAAATGCTAAAAGAAAATAGCTGAAAAGGTAGAACAAGCTTAAATTAGCAGAAGAAAGCAGAAAGATCATGTTTGCTGAAAGAAGCAGAAATGAGCAGTAAAAAGTTTAAAATTATCTGAAAAAAGCTAAACTTTGTAAAATAAAAAAAAAGCTGCTGAAAGGTAGCTAAAAAAGCAGAAAGAAGCTGAAATTACAAGTGCAGTGAGAACATTTTTGGTGAATTAGTCTGAAAAAAGTTGAAATGAGTGCAAAAAATGTGGAATTAGCTGAAAAAGCTTAAATTAGCATAAAACGGCTAAATAGTAGCTGAAACAGTAAATATAATAGGGGAGTGGTGGCGCTTAGGTTGGAGAAGGTGGCCCTGTGATCAGAAGATTGCTGGTTCATCTCACAGTACCGACAACCTCAAAATGTGGGTGTGAAAGGTGAAGCACCCACACCTGCCTCCACCCTCATTTGCCCTACCCTGAGCCCTTGAGCAAGGCCCTTAACCCCCACCATCTGCTCCCCCGGGCACCCTAGATAGCAACTCTGCTCCACACAGAGGGCTGTGGTTGTGTCAGGAAGGACATCCGGTGTAAAAATAATATCCATTCATGCGACATAGTTCACTGTGGCAACCCCTGAAGGAGGGAGCAGCCGAAAGAAGAAGATTAATTATACCTTGTGAGAATCTTCTGTAATTTATGAGATAGCAGCTTTGTTTTTATTGCCTCCCGTGTCACAAACTAAATCTGTTGCTGTGGCAACGACGTCTGCCGGCAGTCTGGAGGCTGAGAATCTGCAGAGAAAGACAAACTGTGGTTTCCACAGGGTCAACGTGTTTGTGATACACCGTGTTTCCATTCCACCCTGGCTCCCGTCCAGTCTGTCTCCCTTCCTTTATTCCTCTTTTATCTTCAGCATTTCTTTTGTCTGACTTTGTCCTTCGCAGATCAACCACAAATATCCTGAGAGGAGATTGCTGGTGGCGGAGGCCTGCGGAGCATTATCTCCTTACCTGCCTGTAAGAACAGATTGTGCAGAGGAAAAATGAAAAATTGTCGCCAGTGTTGATCACGTAAGAATTAACGGACTCACTTTCACCTTTCTGTTTTTTCAGAAGGAGATTCGTAGCTCCCTGGTGTTGTCCATGTTGCAGCAGATGCTTGCTGAGGACAAGGCTGACATGGTCAGGGAGGCAGTAGTCAAGAGTTTGGGAATCATCATGGGCTACATTGATGACTCTGACAAGTACCCCCAGGTAAAATTGTTTACAAGAAAACATTCATCAAGTTTTACGATACCAAAGCAGCCGGTCCTGAGTGTTTAGATATTCTTGTTGTTTGGTTCCTGTTGCCATCCAGCAGCGTTTTTCTGTGTATGCACTGCGCTCTTCCTTTGTCGTTCACTGCAGGGCTTTGAGTTGATGCTTCTGTCCCTCGGGGACCCATCGGAGCGAGTGGTCAATGCAGTCCACCAAGTCTTCATCCCTGCCTTTGCTGCCTGGACCACAGAGCTGGGCACCCTGCACACTTCACTTATCCCTTCTCTGCTGGCAAGAATAGAGAAACTGCTCAAAGTAAAAGTGACGCCTGACTCTCATTTGGCTGAACATCTTTGTGATTTACTCAGCTAGTTTGCTTGATGGATCCTTTTTCTGCAGCAGGGTGAACACGGTCTGGATGAACACAAGCTGCACATCTTTCTGTCAGCCCTTCAGTCTCTCATCCCACCTTTGTTTGCCGTGGTGCTGCAGAACGCACCCTTCAGCAGTAAAACCAAACTCCACAGAGACATACCTGCAATAGAAGGTACGATACAGATCAGATGTGAGGGTGGCAGACTCTCAGCAGATGCTTGTGTTCAGTGGTGAATGAACTGCACTTTGTGGAACTCTGGTCTTGCAGTGACCCGGTTCCCCAGACCAGCCTCTCCCCTGCAGGACGTGGCCACCATCATTGGGAGCAGAGAGATGCTAAGCACCTTGCTGCTTCTCTACGACCACCAGCTGGAGCATGAAGGAACTACGGGCTGGGAGAGCCTGCTATGGGTGGTCAACCAACTGTAAGTAACTTCAGAGGGCTTTACATCGATTGTCTCTATCCCTTACGTTAATAAGAACCTTCACAAAACATATAAGTACTTAAATACTTAAACTTAGCCGTCCGAAGTGCTGTACAAAAATGAAACAAACAAAAAACAGTAAAACAATAAAAACAACTAAATATATGTAAAAAAAAACAATAAGAGCATCACAAGTAAAATAATACATTAAGACAGAGATGCTAACTCACTCTAGGTTAAAAGCCAATAAAGAAAAATGTGTTTTTAAACATTATATTATGTCACAATCTACAAAAGTATCCTTAAAAATCTTACGAATTTGCTCATTTCTGTTTAGTTTTCAAAACTGTAACAGCTTGAAAAGTTCAGCCAAAGTCAGCTGTAGTTTCTTCTAGTCCTGAAAGTTGCAGCTAGGCCTGTCGCGATAAACGATAAATCAATTAATCGCATGATAAATGAAAATTATCGACCTCATTTTCATTTATCGGCTTTATTGTTTCTTCGTGTCTCTCCACTGAAGACACTGGATGACAAAAGGCTCAACGCCGGTGCTCTTCACTGACCCCTCCCTTTCTCTTTTCTTTAAAACTCATTTTAACCATCCAAAATCACATTTTTGGATTGTTAAAAGCAGCTAAGCTACGAGCTAAGCTAACAGGCCAACATTGGGGGGGGGGGGATCTCCATCTTGTCCAAGCTCCAAAATTCACAGTTGAAACTTGTACCTATGTGTAAAAAGTTTTTCTCTGCAAAAAGAAGCTGAGAACTTTTTTACGGATTTTTTTTTTAATTGAAAGCTTTTGTGTGAAAAATGCTATGCTAAAGAGCATCCGCCATTTTGAGAATCGCATGTCACGTCAGGGGGCCTCCCTCCCATTTTTCTTAAAGAGACACGCTGCTCACTCCCTCACTATCCATCCTTCAGTTCAAACAGTCTTATACTTCCATCCGGTGGTGGAAAAAAGTTACTACACACACAACAAATTAACCAACATTTCTTCTTAAATTTTACAATAATTACTAATTATTGTCAAATTTCATACAATATTATCATTTATCGCAATAATTTCTGAGACAATCGCCCAGCAAAGTTTATCGTGACAGGCCTGCAGAATGTTTTTGTCATTACATGAACAGGATCTTAAAGAACCTCCCAAACAACCAGTTCCCTATAATTAAATTTATTGCACCATTCTAGTTGTTTACACCCAACTTTTTTACATTTGACTGCTATTCCCATTGACTTTCTGAAAAAACAACATTTTGTCACGTTTAAGCTGAACTTGCTCAGGCTGTGGGGTTGTAACAACATATTGAAATGGTTAAGCTCAAGTATGCATGCACTATTTATTTATTTAAATTTTCCCAGACTGCCTCAGCTCATAGAGATCGTGGGCCGCATCAACGTGACGTCGTCGACGTGCGTTCACGAGTTCTCTCGCTTTTTCTGGAGGTTCTGTCGCACATTTGGCAAGATTTTCACCAACACGAAGGTAAAGTCACGTCACAACAAACTCCGTATTGACCTTAATAAACAACTCTGACGTTGGTGCAGTTTCATTCAGTTTTGATCTAATCTTGTGAGCACATTCATAGTTTTTGTTTTAGAAATGTAAAAGTGTCCTCATAGTTGAATATTGAAGTAAATGATGATTGTTGTTGTTGGAACATAGTTTTATGAGAAAATAAACCGAAGCTCAGTGAATTTATCATGTTCGTTTTTTAAATCAACCAACGGGCTGTTTGTTTTAATGCAAGTTATCTGAAAATGATAGTTTTTCTGTTCTTTCATTACATTTTTACGGTAAAGCTCTAATATAAACTATATGTGAACAACTTACAGATGTTTTGATACAGTCTTATGCTTGTTAGGTGAAGCCACAGTTCCAGGAGATTCTCCGACTCTCTGAAGAGAATGTTGGTAAGGGAAACTCTTTGGCTTGTTTTCTAGTTTTTTTTAATTCCAAGAGATTTTTCTCAACCTTAAAGAAAAAAAAAAAGTGGGTGGAGTTTAGACGCAAACACCATCGATGCAAACAAGCTATTTGGAGTCGCGTCTGGGTCTTCCCCTTCTTTGTCTCTTTTTTTTTTCTAATTCCAAACATGTTTTTGTTGTTCTAAAGAGATGCTCGGTTTCATTTGGATGCCAAGTCATTTAGTTTGGTACTGTGGCCTTTTATGAAATGGGTTTTGTTCAGAGACTCATATTTTTATAATTCAACAACAATAAAATATGTAACGAGGCCACATTTTTGCAAACAGATTTATGCAACATTGTGAGTGGTTCCTTGTGTGTGTGTGTGTGTATGTATGTACTAACCGGATTCCAAAAAAGTTGGGACACTAAACAAATTGTGAATAAAAACTGAATGCAATGATGTAGAGGTGCCAACATCTAATATTTTATTCAGAATAGAACACAAATCACAGATCAAAAGTTTAAACTGAGAGAATGTATCATTTTAAGGGAAAAATCTGTTGTTTCCAAATTTCATGGAGTCAACAAATCCCAAAAAAGTTGGGACAGGTCCATTTTTACCACTGTGTGGCATCCCCCCTTCTTCTTACAACACTCAACAGACGTCTGGGGACAGAGGAGACCAGTTTCTCAAGTTTAGAAAGAGGAATGCTCTCCCATTCATGTCTAATACAGGCCTCTAACTGTTCAATCGTCTTGGGCCTTCTTTGTCGCACCTTCCTCTTTATGATGCGCCAAATGTTCTCTATAGGTGAAAGATCTGGACTGCAGGCTGGCCATTTCAGTACCTGGATCCTTCTCCTACGTAGCCATGATGTTGTGATTGCTGCAGAATGTGGTCTGGCATTATTGTGTTGAAAAATGCAGGGTCTTCCCTGAAAGAGATGACGTCTAGATGGGAGCATATGATGTTCTAGAACCTGAACATAGTTCTCTGCATTAATGGTGCCTTTCCAGACATGCAAGCTGCCCATGCCACAAGCGCTCATGCAACCCCATACCATCAGTGATGCAGGCTTCTGAACGGAGCGTTGATAACAACTTGGGCTATCCTTGTCCTCTCTGGTCCGGATGACATGGCGTCCCAGTGTTCCATAAAGAACTTCAAATCGTGACTCATCTGACCACAGAACAGTCTTCCATTTTGCCACACTCCATTTTAAATGACCCCTGGCCCAGTGCAAATGTCTGAGCTTGTGGAGCTTGCTTAGAAATGGCTTCCTCTTTGCACTGTAGAGTTTCAGCTAGCAACGGCGGATGGCACGGTGGATTGTGCTCACTGACAATGCTTTCTGGAAGTATTCCTGAGCCCATTCTGTTATTTCCTTGACAGTGGCATTCCTGTTTGAGGTGCAGTGACGTTTAAGGGCCCGGAGATCACGAGCATCCAGTAGAGTTTTACAGTCTTGACCCTTATGCACAGCAATTGTTCCAGATTCTCTGAATCTTTTGATGATGTTATGCACGGTTGATGACGATAACTTAAAAGTCTTTGCTATTTTACGCTGGTAACACCATTCTGGTATTGCTGCACTATCTTTCTGCGCAACAATGGTGGAATTGGTGATCCTCTTACCATCTTGGCTTCTGAGAGACACTGACACTCTGAGAAGCTCTTTTTATACCCATCCATGTTGTCAATTGACCTAATTAGTGTTCATTGGTCTTCCAGCTGTTCGTTATATGCTCAATTTCCTTTTTCCAGCCACTTATTGCTACTTGTCCCAACTTTTTTGGGATTTGTTGACACTGTGAAATTTTGATTCAACATATTTTTCCTTTAAAATGTTACGTTTACTCAGATTAAACTTTTGATTTGTCATCTATGTTATATTACGAATAAAATATTGACATTTGCCATCTCCACATCATTGCATTCAGATTTTATTCACAATTTGTTTAGTGTCCCAACTTTTCGATTTGGTTTATGATTTAAACATATTTTATGTCAATATTTCATATAATTTGTATTCTGTAAGACTTTTATTTTAATATGGATGGTAAAGCTCTACGCTGTCTGTTTTGTCCTGATAAAATTTTTCTTCCAGATGTTTGTGCGGGGAACGGTATTCTCACCAAAGCTACAGTCCCCATCTATGCTACTGGAGTGCTGACCTGTTATAACCAGGTAACTGAACACAACCACCGTTCAGCTCTGTGCAGGGATGAGTTTGCAAATCTGCTCATGCTTTTTACTTTTTAAGATTTGTCTCAGTTAGCTCTTAACGTTCCTTTCGATTATCAGTGTAACTTTTTTGATGCTTCTCTAAAAAAAAGTCTGTTTTATTTAACTAAAAATACGTGATTGTTTCCCCAAACTGACATTTTGTTTTGTTAAAAATGAATATAAGAATTAATATGATGTTACAGTGAAGAACCAGCTTTTTTACTTTTTTCTCCTTATCTCTATTTTTATGATTCTTAGAACCTATTCAGAAAATGTTTGTAAGCATAAACCAGTCAGTTTTTGTAACATGGATCACAGTGTAGCTATGAGAGTTAGCTGTGCTAAATTTATAATCACACAGATTAAATTAGCATTTATCAGTTATGTAGAAAATTAAATGCAAAGCAGCTTAGTCTTCCAGTTATCTGTTAATAACGGTGTGCCACAAGGTTCGGTCTTAGGACCCACCTTCTTCACAATATACATAAGTAATGTTGTTCAGATCATTCCTGATGTATCCTTGCATTTCAGTGCTGACAACAAAGTTGTTTATTGTCATAAAAAATCAAAATAAAATAATTTTATTTTTTAGACAATCTCTACTAACTAACATCTGCCTATTAGCTAACCTTTACATTCAAATTTTTCATGTTCTTTGGACCTAATTGCATGTTTAAAATGTAAATATGTTAGAGGATTTTCATCTTAATGACTATAAATATTTTAAAGAAAATTTGCTTGAAATAGAAAAAAAATCTGTTGGGCTTTTGTGTTTCAGTATAAAGAAAGTAAATATTGTTTCACTTTAGGGTTTTCTTCATTCCCATGAAAGGAAATCCATTTTTAAGAAACATTATCATACATTTTGTTTCAGTTTCACAAAATATTGCAGCACTTATGTGTAACAAAGGTCAGAAATAATGTGTTTTGTGTCAACTTTAAATATTTTTACCCCCCAAAAAACGTTGTGACTCAGTTCTGCTCATTCTGATGATTTCCGAGTCCACGTGATGTCACTGACATAAACACACTGTCAAATGTTTACAGGAGGAAGATCGCAAACTGTTGGTGGGTTTCCTGGAGGATGTTATGACCATGCTGTCTCTGTCGCATGCACCTCTCGACAGCCTCAAGGCCTCCTTTGTAGAGCTGGGGTGAGGAATTAAAATAAATCATACATTTGATCATTATTTTATAGCTTTGAACACAACATTCACACTAGTAAGAAGATTTGACGCACATTCACTTTTTGCATAGTTGTTATTTTGTTAAAAGTTGTGTTTGTCGATAGGCCTGTCACGATAAACAATAAATCAATTAATCGCATGATAAATGAAAATTATCAACCTCATGTTCATTTATCGGCTTTATCGTTTCTTCGTGTCTCTCTTTCTACTGAAGACACTGGATGAGAAAAGGCTAAACTCCGGTTGTTCACTGACCCCTCCCTTTCTCTTTCCTCTTTAAAATCCGTTTTAAACGTTCAAAATTGCGTTTTTGGATCGTTAAGCAGCTACGCTAAGATGCTAAGCTATGAGCTTAAATTTGACAATAATCACTACCTGTCAAATTTCAAACAATATTATCGTTTATCGCAATAATTTCTGAGACGATTAATCGCCCAGCAAAATTTGTAATCGTGACAGGCCTGTTTGTCGGGTGATTTTTATTATTTTTTCCACTCCTTGTTTGTTTCAGTGCAAACCCAATTTATCATGA